TCCGAAGAAAGGAATATTTTTTGACCACGTAGCGCGTCGTTCCTTCCGCTGAAATTTCCGCGCGTAGATGAATGTATTATATCGACTTTCGTTAACGATAAATGGTCGTCAATTTGATATCATTACTTTCATGGTGTATCTCGCGTCCAATTCGTGCTTGGTTTGCCGCTTTCGACGCGCGCAACCAACGAGACCGCATTGTTAACGACGAGATTCACGTTACATACCACATGCGTACAAAATCAATCGATACTCCCGACCTCCTTTTCTACGCATCTCGAACTTGTTGAAATGCATTGGGCGAACGCGTACAAAATTATCGTATTATTAGATTGCGTAAGCATAAAATTTAAATATGATCAGATTAAGAGAGAAATACTACCTTCACTAAAAATATTAGACACTATTTTTTCATTTATCTGGAATTCTTTCATTTGCATTGTTAATGATTTATATCCGGCATTATATTGCATAATTCAAAGGAGATTCTTGAAACGGAATAATTCAGCAGTAAATGCTATAAATTAATTTTCAAGCTAAAACTTTAAATAATGGTCAATATAAAGTGACTAATATTTTTGACCAAGGCTATATGTAGATAGATTTAAATTTGAAAATAATGCGCCCGATGTTAGCAACAAAGGATTTATTTGTGAATCTTTTACGCAGTTTTAACTTTCCTTCTATGAAATTATGTAATGAAAGTGGGTAAGTATATTTATCCAATAAGCGGGAGTTACTCAATGAATGTAGATCTTGTTAAACTTTTGTGAAATTTATCCGTCTTAGTTTACAGAGATATACTTTTGAGACTCATTGGATAGATCTTGAAAGACAACATATTATAGACATGTAGATCTCTCTGTGTGTGTGTGTGTGTGTGTGAATATTTGAGATGTGGATAAGCGTTTTTTCTCTTCCCATAGACTCGGCTATAGTTACTCTCTAAAGTAATATCGACTTGACCAATTAGGCAGTCCGTAAGTCGACTCCAACCGAAAATAAGCGCGAAGCTTTATTTAGTCGACTTGCATCGCTGTGAGTGGTAAGGATAAGCAAAAGAAAAAAAAAGAAATGGTTAGTTGCGACGTGCACAATCATGTTCGCATTTTGTATCGAATAAATGACATTTTCTCCATGTCCTTGCACGATTTTCTGAGCCGCACTTACATCCACTCCCAAAATAAAACGGATATTGAAATGCCTACGAATATTTTCGCACCGCCTGCGTTAACATTTCGACCTACAGGATGAGAAATCGTTTACTCCTATCGCCTCGAGCGAGAAATTGACTTAAACCAGATTTCCGTCATTAACGCCGCAGGCTGCGATTTGTCGATTATCACCCCCGGCGAAGTACTCTATCTTATTGGTTTGATCGATAACTCGTTAGTTGAATTTTCTCAGATATTAATCGCGATATGGTTGTGCAGAAATAGTTTATAATGAGTTGAATACGATATGAATCTATGCACGCGCTCATTAGATTTTCGAGAAAATCTTATTACATATTGAAGTAATTTCAACTGGAATATTTTTTATGATAATCATGTTAGAAAAACGTTTGTCTATTGTAAAATATTAATAATAATAATAGTAACTTTATTGATATGCAGTAAGTATTAAAAAAAACGAAATTATATAGTAGTAATTGTGCAAAATAAAAAAAGAGATGCATACTCAAAAGGTGAACAATAAAATGTTATCTAAATCTAAACCTAAAACTTAAGTTAAATAGAAAAAAATATAAATAGGAATAAAAAGAAATATATTAAAGGATATATAAAATACATAAAGGAACTAAAATTAAATTAAGGTGTAAGTGAAAAATAGAATAACTAACTATAAAAAAGAAGTATAAATTTGAAATATATTAGACAAGAGAATAGAAACACATTAGATATTCAATTAATGTTTATTTGATGTTTAATTGACGTTTAATTAATGCGATATTTAATTGACATGACGGGTATTTGGAAAATGGGAAATATACTTTTGTAATTAATATTGACCTTTTGTATTTCTCGTGCATTCTCTCGCGTTTTTTTAATAACAAAGAAAGAATCAATATGTTGTTCAATGATATTAAAAGCTATAGAAAACCTCTTTGTTATTCGAAAGCTAATACAAGTTTGAGTTCAATAAAATTGAAACAAAGAGACATGAATGAGTTTTTGTTGTTTGCGCGTTTGAAAGCAGCATGGCGACAAAAAATAGGAAATATTCGAGGTAATCGTGTTAAAAATACAACGTCAAAGTATGCTAGGATTTTTTCAGCTTGATAAAAGGGGTAAAAATAAGTTATACATATATATATTTGTCTCTTAAAAAGTTTTTAGCAAATATTAATTATTTAATATTAATATACTTTAATATTAATGTTAAAAAGCAGAAAAACGGTCTTAATCTGCAGACAGACACAGAAGGATTACATGTAGCATTCCGATCATAAACAAGATTTAACTTTGCACCACCAAAGTTCTCATTTTAATATTCTACCGACAACCGTGAAAATTAGACGTTTCTATTCTCATTAGAACAATGGGCAATCTTAATTTTTTATTTTGTAATTTTAATCTTTAACACACTTGTGTATTAAGTGACTACCTCTTTTGACTTTGATTGCGTTTGCGAGATGTTGACCGTTCGACGATTTATTCGATGTTGATATGTTATGGACAATTTGATGAGTTTTTAACAGCTTGACATGCTCTATGTATTGTTTTAAATCCTTATTTTTTAATCAAATTACAAAAAATCTTTTTTTCCTTATCAGAACATGGTGAAACTCTGTTTCAATCCGTCTTTCAATCGTTTACTGAACAAGGACGTTTTTATCTTGTCCAGAATGTCCATCGCGTTTTTCTTCAAAATAGCGTTTTCAATGTATATCAATTTTGCGGTTTAGAATATAAAATATTGGTTTTACGTTATATAATTGTTGAACATCTGAGGAGGGCTGAATCATACAGCTGAAACATGTAATGTTAATTCGTCAAATGTTAAAGTAAAATTTATAATTAAATCATTGTATTTCATTATTTTATTTGAATTTTTCATAAATTATTTCTATTAATTTGACTCTTATCAGTTCTTTTGTGTTATACAATTGTCATTTTTATATTAAGAGTCTTGTATTGAAATATTATTTTTAATATACTTTATTATGTATATTACGATATTTTCTAAAAGAACTACATTAAAATAACTAATTAAATTTATAAATAGAAGTGATTTTGTTATAAAACTTTTGTATAAAACGTTTTTTTAATATCTTGAATAGTCTTTTTGATGTAAAACTAACCACCGTATTTTTGAGAAGATTTTATTCTTTAAAATTGTTTTTTTGCGCCATAATTGATGGTTTCTAAATTTTTTTGTTTACGTAACATATATGTATGTATAAAAAGTTTCATTAAAATCATATTTTAACACTTTGTGAAGTTTCTTTGTAAGCTCGAAATTGAAAATTGATGGTCAGATTAAAAAAAGAAAACATTTTTGAACATTAAAAAATATAGGTATATAATGTTTGCAGAGAAAATTTTAAGAGAAAAAAAGTAGCATTTATAAATCATATTAGATACGTATTATTCACAAAACAAGTAGATCTTATTGAATACTAGGCCACAAACGGTTTGGTTACTTTCTATTTCATTTAACTTTTATACTTATATCTACTTCTTTATCTTGTTTTATTCAGTCACAATTTATCTTAGCAAATGGTTTCATTTAACTTGATTCTTAAGGAGGATAAATAGACTAGCAGAAGCATAAATATTAATTTTACTTACAACATGTACCATATAAAATTTCCCATGAGAGACTGTCGGTGAAAGATTTAAAACGGCTTTTCAACCTCTGTAATATAAAATTTACTTTCAAAAACGATTTCTACACTTGCACTTCGAAAAAAAGTCATTTCACCATGCACGTTAACAGTGCTTTCAATTTAGTAGAAGGGCGATAAATGTATTACGCGCACATTCCACTTCGTCGTGGAATGTTTAATTAAACTCTGACGAGAACTTGGAGAATTCCAGATACTGTGCGACATACTGAAGATCTCTATACGTAACATCATTTGCATCTTTGTTAAGACGATATTAGTTTTATTTATCCCGTGTTTATATGCGTTCTTTTTCTCAGAAGACTTATTAAGGAAGAACCTGATATCAGAATACTGAAAACATCACTTATATTTATACAAAGCATTTTTTAATATAGTTAGAAAAATTATAAGCAGTAAAAAGCAAAAAAATATAAGAATAATAATGAAAATTTTATTCGTGATTGTTATATCTAAGAAGTAAATATGCTATTATAATTATTAATTTTCTACTAACAGGTTGTTAATGCAATTAAATATAATTAATATTTGTATATACAAATATATAATGTATTTTTCTACTTGCTGTAAACAACTGAATAGTTAGATTATACAAAAATTAACATCTTAGGAAATAAGATATTAATGTATAAAAGTAAATAGTATGCATAAATGTATCTCTAAGGCATAAATTATCATATTTTAAAAAACGCACATACAATTTTTATTATAAATATATTTTAAATCATATATTTTTAATTTAAAAAGATTCATTAATATACGTGCGAAGTTTCTTTACATGAATGTGTAAAATCTAAAATTATTATTAAAAAAAAATATGTTGCATTTCTACATTAGAAAAAAAAAAGAATTTTTTCTCGAAGATTTTTTTTTGAACGTTCATCGTGATTTTGCATTACGTAAAAATGCTAAAATTTAAATTATATATGCATTTGGAGCTTCAACAGAGTAACTCTTTTCGAGAAGGCAATGCATATTTTCGCGCAATTTCCACGTTTGACCCTTTTCCCTCGTTTCAACAGAAGGGTTGAATTGCTAAACCATTGGCAAATCACCCTCTCGCCAATGCGCATGTACACGTCGTTACCCAACATCGACCTCTCCACTTCTAAATACGCGCTTTAAGAGCGCAAGCGTGTTGGCCATTACGTGCATTTCTTGACCACGCAGAAATACCTCGGTATAATCATTTAAATTAAAACGTAAATGGAATACTACTGAGTAACCGCGCAACCGATAATATTACTCCAATTATTCTGTACGAAGATAAGCACGTTCTCTATGTTCGAGCAACTCTATGGCAGTCGTAAGCCAAGCGCGAGTCGTGAAGGCCATCGTTGAATGTGCGTGTCATGGTCTTCTTCTTATATAAGTGCCGTCATCGCGGAATTACACGACAGTGTCAGTGCGTTCGTTCACCACGAAGCGAGCAGTCGCATGATAGATAAATATTCTCTATATGTGTTATATCGCGTAATTGAGGCTTCCGTCGCTTGCCTTGATACAAAATTTGTAGAGCTAAATGTAACGGTGTAAAGTGCACTAATTTTATTTACTTTTTTACATTTATATCAAATCTACAAACTCAATAAGGTAATGACGAAAATATAAGAAAGAATCAATAAATTGATATGTGTTGACATAATAAGTTAATATATTTATATATAGATATAAGTTTTGTTGACTCTCAGATTTGCCCTTGTTATCATCCTCTATTGTTTTAACATCGAGAGATTTGTTTATATTTAAATTGATATGTGTTTAGTTTTCAAAATTACGTAGTCGTATGCTTTTTGAAAACGAGAACTGATTTTTTACTAGAAATAAATTAAAAAATTGAATAGAAACATTAAATAATTGAATACTCCTTTAATATGTTTTTGTCAAATTCTTACGGAGAGCAATATATAGAAAATAAAACAAATTTTACTTGACATATTCCAAGCAATAATAAGTGATCATAACATCAAGTAAATGACGTTAAAATACATCGTAAATGATCAAAAAGTAGTGACATTTTCACATTATTTTGACATCACGATGATTTATATTCTGCTTGATATACAATATATCATATATATACGTACTTATGTGTTATATACATTTTTCTTCTCTGTTTTTATATTCTTAAATAAAATGTGTGATAGGCTATTAGATAGCTAAAAGATTTTAAATAGAAAAATCTTAAGATGTAAGTAAATCACATTTTGTTATTGCTTACATTGTTGTCTCGTTTTTTTTTTTTTACTGTGATTGATTGACTTAGATTTGCTTCAAATTTTTTGCGAGCCTTAACATTAATAACTGTACTGATGCCTTACGATTTGCATATTCATATTCTTATTTCCAATAATTATCTATATAAATAATGTTTATACGTAATAAAATATAATAAAATAAAATAAAAAGCAAAATAAAATAAAACTAAATATAAAAATTACTTTTACTAATCATTAAAATTAATGGTTCGTTATATTTCTCTCTCTCATGTATTTAACTGTATAATTATATTATAACCAAATAAGAGATTTTAAAAATAATTTTCTGATTTGAAGTACATATTCAATTTTAGTAAACCTATCTTTTTTGTAGGTATGCATATTCAATTCATTTCTGATGTTTTTTTCAGAAAGATTGCTTTACAGAAAACTGTTTTATGAGCGCCATCGGATCAATAGAGATATTCTACAATAACGTGTCATTGCAATGCGGCTTGAATCGTGTTACCTCTGCGATATTAAGTATTTAAGATAGCGAGACGTGTTGTATTACACAGTTCGCGAGACCAATATAACTCGCGTTGGGAATACCGTAAAGATGGGTGGTAGCGGACAGAATGGAAACATCTTTACGTACGACACGCTAGTGCACGCGATATCCGGTGCAGTGGTGAGTTTATATTTTACACGTCAGAAATCTTACACGTGTTACCTCATCGTCGTGGGATAACTTTGACATTTTAACATTTCAGGGTAGCGTCGTCGCGATGGCAGCCTTTTATCCTTTAGATACCGTGCGAAGCCGTTTACAATGTAAGCAGATTCGCGTCTGTCAGATATATGACAAATCAATTATGCGCTCGTTTCCTCCGAGGTGCATTGAAACGAGACAAGCCAGTCTTCAATTTCATTAAACGCGATGACACTCCCGGACAATATTCTGCTACTTTATTGTCATGCACGATCTCGTTACCATTAAATGCTTGCGCCGATAACATTACACTAAATGCATGTTATTATATATTTGGTTATCATTTTGATTGTCGACATTTACGCTATTTAAGCGTATATTTTATGGATTCATTTTTCATTCAGCATTTGTTTAATGCATTTGTATGTCATTATGAATTGACGCATAATTTCCGTAACAATTAAATTTAATATACTGATAGACAAAGCGCAATAAAAGGAACAATTTTGTTAAATGTAAATTTTATGTTTAAAAAAAAATTCGCGATTTGTGCCACAATTCAAGATAAGAATTTAACATTTACAATATATACTGATATGTGCCTTGTAAAACATTTAGAAAAGAAACACAGACATTACATAATGATATACGCCTTGTAAAACATTTAGAAAAGAAACACAGACATTACATATTATATTATACATATGTAATAATTACATACTTCATATGTATATTAAATATAAATATAAATATGAATTTATATTTATATGTTCGGCGCGCAATTTGGGGGAATTTTTCAGATAGAGTTGCGTTTTAAGATCGACGATTGTTCGGCGCGCAAAGTGAGGGGGGTGGGAGGGGATACATGTAGTACTTCAGATAAATATTGCGAAGAATATTATGACGTCGACCCGCCATCAGAGGTTTATTGATATTCGCAAATTCTCGCAAGTGCTGAGACACGCGTATATCTCTTTATATAGAATCTCGATTTAATAACTTATACCGGCGACTAAGGTAGGCTTCCATTACAATACCTTACTGATGAGTCCAGTATTGGAAGCCGGGACGAAACGCCAACATTACGTGATATTCTTCGCAATATATTAGAATAAATAAAATTAAAGATTTTAATGAATCTATGGCTCGTAGCCCTGTTCTCTTATTAGTTATGAATTTATATATTTTTTGAAATTCATTTATATTTGTATATTTGAGAAAATAAGTTTATTTTATAAATTTTATAACGCGCGCAGAAAATAGAGACATGATTACAATGTTCCTTGAAAAATTAAAAAGAATGGTATTACTTATGTTTAAAAGTTAAGACACGCGTTCTATTTCTTATGATAATTATTCAGATACACAACTTTATCTTTTATCTCATTCAATAATCTCGTTAACAAACCTATTCTTCTGCTTACAGTGGAAGAAAGACTCCAATCAAAAAATACATTAGCTACTATACGAGAACTCATTGCGAAAGAAGGACCGTACGTATATATACATACATTTATCTCAAATATGTATTTTCTCAAAGCAAACTCTATGCATGTCTTGAATGAAATGCGCGTTGTACAAACTACGACAAATATATAGAGAAACCAGTTTCTTCTTGGTTCACAGATTCTAGCATAAATAAATACGTTAACAAGGAATTACTCATGGTTTAATAACGCAGGTGTTGTAATATTCCCGTAAATGCGTAGAATGAATTTGCACCTAAATTTGATTGGCTGGTCCCCAATATGCTACCGCTTTACGCAATTTTACACCTAATAAAGAAAGTGTCGACCCAAATTTGAATGATTGTTTTCAATATTGTTATTGCCATTACGCGCAATGTAACATCTGTTTTTTTTTTACATTGTTTTTTATATTATACACCTGGATTTTTTTATTAGGGATTGAGAAAAAAAGTCGTTAAATTTTAATAAATATTTCTTTAAATAGTCCTAACAAAATATCTACTTACGGTAAATAAATATTTAGATAAATGAAAAAAAAATGATAGTTGAATTAAACTAATGGTCCTTAGATCTAATAAATATATATGTTTACATTTCTTTTAATATTCCGCTAGGACTATTTTCTGAGAAATATTTATTAAAATTAATAAAGTAAATTTTTTCAGAAAATGTATCATAAAATTTCGCGTTATTATATCTTTAAAACACTCTCATAACTTAATATTGTCGTTTATCTTTTTAAGATATACTCTATACAGAGGCATTATCCCTGTTCTGCAGAGCCTGTGTGCAAGTAATTTTGTTTATTTCTACACATTCCACGGCTTAAAAGAACTGAGAAGCAAAAGGAATCAAACGGCTGGCAATGACTTGCTTCTCGCGTCAATTGCTGGTACGGCTTCTTGTCAACAGACTTTATGTTTCGCGTAGTACATGTGATTCGATTTCACTTTGTAAATAATTAGAGTACTAAGAGTAAAAGTTGTTTAATCACAAATGATTGAAAACACATAGAAAATAACCAAAATAAAATAAGTAATACTTCGAAACATTTATATTTCAATTTAAACGTATATTTCATTTAAAAAGAAATTTAATCGGAAATTTAATTATAAAGATAAATAATAATTATTTTAATGACATATGAAAAGATATTAGATTATGCAGGGAAATTGATAAGAAAGAAATATATAGATAATATTCAGCTAAATTTTTCTTCAACGAAATATACACTGTAAAAAATAAGATGTTAATTTTAACTTAAACATAAAGTAGACTTTCTGAGATATGAAAAAATGTTAAAATTAACATTTTTGTGTTGATACGTCATTAAGTATACATCTTTAAGTTAAAATTAACATTTTATTTTTTACAGTGTAAACTTTAGTTTTAGCGGAAGAACGTGTAACTAGTGAAAAATCTTGACATTTTATATATTTATACATATATTTGCATTACAGGTGTTATCAATGTCCTCACTACGACACCTCTGTGGGTTGTAAATACAAGATTGAAGATGAGAGGCGTTGGAGTAACTCTAGAAAAAAATAACAATAAATATACTACTCTATACGGTACGTTAGCATTCAGAACAAAATTCGCGAATATTTATTTAGATAATCAATAGTTGAATTGACTATTTAAATGACTTTTATCTTTAAACATTTTTATATTTTCGGTTCTAGTGATTCTGATCATGCTTTGTTTAAAAATCAAACAGTCCATATCGTATATACCGATACTAATGCAACGCAAACATATCCTCTAATTTAATGATGTATACACTGTATATGTTAACGTATGCATTTACAATAACACGCTTTACATGTCGTCCGTTTGCTTCATTACTTGAAACAATTATGATATTCAATAAGCGTGACATTTGGTTATCATGAATAAATAAATCTCGTAGACATAATGACAAATTGGTAGTTCATAATTGGATATATTATTAATGACATAATTAAAGGAGTCATTCTTTTTCAAAATTATGTTTCGCTATTAAAATTTACTTATTCATATACATGTGTACATGTTAATTAATGTAAAAATAGTCTTGAACAATAAACGATCACAGCATATTCGGAAAATTGTAAGTATGCTGAAAGAAGATATAATTTTTAAAATATTTTCATTGATCCAAAGGAATAATTTTTTTTAATACGAGCAAAGAAATATTTCATTGAAATTAAGATACTTTTTTTAGTGTAGATATGAGTATCGCTAGAGAGACGAAAAACTTTCTAAAGTTTTTAGTGATTTTTAGTGATCCAGAGAAAGTAATTATTCATCACAATTTTTCATAATTCTTTGAATAGACAAATTCTAAAGTTGATAACTTCTTAAAGCAAAGATATTGTATTTCCGAGTATAGGATTGATTTGTATTAATTATCATGTAAAATTTCTGTATTTATATAAGTCTTAGGTCATTATTTTTTAATGTCATTGTGTTTTACAGATGGTCTGTTGCACATATGGAAGTACGAAGGTTTGAAACAGCTATGGGCGGGAACGTTACCGAGTCTTATGCTTGTTGCAAATCCGGCCATCCAATTTATGACATATGAGAGCATTAAGAGAAGAGTCATCACATCTACTGGTACTGCACAACCACCGGCATTGGTTTTCTTCATTATAGGAGCGATAGCGAAAGCGGTTGCCACGGTGATAACATATCCTTTGCAACTTGTACAAACGAAATTGAGGGTATAGGATATTGACGTTTTTAATTTGATTGAGAAAAAATAAATTTAAGAGTAAGTATTTTTTAATCACTAAACTATTTAAATTTCAGCACGGGTACAAATATCCTAATCTACCCCCAGACGCAGGCACATTGCAAATATTATTTTATATTCTGAAGTAAGTATAATAAAAAAATATTACATGAATATGTGATGTATCTATTTTACATTTTATCTTTGCAATTTGTAAGATATTGATATGAGCGTGTATTTTTTGCCCGCAGAAAGGAAGGGATAAGTGGTTTATTTAAAGGGATGGAGGCCAAACTTTTGCAGACTATCCTCACTGCTGCTTTGATGTTCTTAGCTTATGAGAAAATTGCACGATTCGTTTTCCGAATACTTTTGCATAGACCTTATCTCAGATAACCTTTCTTTCCCAATGTTACAAAACACCTTAAGTCTCGATTTGCTCGAATCTTAAATCAAATTTTGTACATTCCTACGCATTTTATCTTCTTTGTATAATTATATAAATAGATATAATAAAATGGTATTGTAGCCTAGGCTATATTATAGATAATTTTTACCTCGAAAGTCTCAAGAGAGTTTTGATATTTGGTACAATTACATAATTTGATTTTTCAATAATACTACAAATACTTTTTCCCACACCACCTAGGAGGTAAAGTATAAGGTGCGTTTTTTTTTACGTGGGCCCCCAGTAGGCCTACTCCACACAGTAATAAATTAATTTTATTAACAAATAATAGAATCTCATTTTTACGACCGTACAATTGTTAAACAATAACAAGAAAGAAGGACGCACAAAGCAAAGCCTATCACGGTCAAAGCTAGATCAAGATGCTTATTATCATTATGTGTGAATTTATATATCGCGTATGTAGTTCTCTCAATCGCGTGCCGAACATTTTTTTCAGACTTACAACGCAACTCTAAATAACTACCGCGGTAATATTACTTTAGTTAGATTGACAATCAATCTAACAAATTTCGATGCTAATAGCATCTTATTAGATCTTAATAATATGTTGAAAGACATATATTAAAATTTAATATTAAAGATCTAACAAATTTCGATGCTATATATAGCATTTCCCCAATCGTCATTACGTTTACTCGCTAAAATGTTGTCATAGATAACTTGCGCATTTCATAAATAATTTCACGATTATGCAAAGGAGTCTTTTTTTCGCTTTTTTTTAAATTTCACTGTTATCTTTTTAGCACACAAAAAGCAATGGTTTTTAAATTGAAAACGTGATTCATTTATTCGTAGTCTTACATGAGAAGGGAAGGGGGCACCTCCTCTACGCACACACGCAGCAATTAATTTGTCGTTTATATATCGTTTTCTACATGCGTCATGAACGACATCACATTTTAAATTTTTCAAGAAATTAATTTTACTGTCATTTCTCTTCACGCTTGACAATATGAAAGTCTCCAAATCTTTTTCTTTCACTATAATTCTATCTTCATTATCCACAATTTCTTCACAGATAAAACAATTCACACGCATGGATGCCATGATAAAATAACAAACAACACCACGATACTAGAATCGCACTAAACGGCCATCTGCAATATTCGGCACGGTCAAAGCCATAGACTTATTAACGTAAAGACGGAGCACACAGTAAAAACGGAGCACACAGGTATCGGAACATGGAAGTAAAGCTATTTGGAGACAGGGAAGAGAAATGGACAGCCAATCATATTGTGAGCCATACTATGAATGGCACGCTGTTTGTGTTTATATATTTTGTAGACCGTGGTCGAGCCGGTCTAGGTAGATGTGCGTACGTTAATGCAAAGAGAGTCTTAGGCAGTCCATTAGGATAAAAAATCTGAAAGCCAGACTTATTACCTAATTACCTGAGGAATACCTATATTGAACCATTACTACACATATATTTGTATATAGCAACATAGAAAACGTGAAAAAAAGTATTTATAATATGATTGAAAAATTTGCGTTACTTTGATGGACTGTTACGGGCAAACTGTTGATCTGACAAAAAATTTGTTAAGCAGAATTTGTAGGAAATTTTCTCCTCTACAATTTGTTATAGAAGTATTTTTTCGATAAACGCACGTGAAACGAGATATACGCGAAAAACTAATTTTTTAGCTATTTTTAAGACATTTTTTCAATATGGCGGTGCCGGCGTATTAATTTTTTGATAGTAAAATGTAAATTTGTTATGAGAGCATCAAATTACGTAATTGTACCAAATATCAAAACTCCCTCGAGACTTTCCAGGTATACCTCTTTTTCAGTATACTTATCGTCTAGGCTATTAAATTTATGTAGCAAATACTATATTATATACTAGAATAAAAGTATGCTCTGCTTAAGAGTACGCATTGAGCTTTACGCAACTTTAACATACCTTTTTATACAGTATAGTATATGTTAATTAAATAAAATGCAATCAAATATTCCGATTTTCGATAATCGAGTCGGCATTGGAATGCGCATAGTTTTATATCGAGTCCAAAGATAACGTGTCAAAAGGAAATGATTAATCGGGCAATAGAATTCGCAGAAGAATCCAAAAAATGTGACCATACTTGCGTAAGATACTGGCGAGTTCACGAAAATCGCAGCGTCGCTTTCGGTCGCAATTTCGGTACAAGTTGAATGACTTGGTGTCGCCGCTTCTGCAAACGCGTAAAGAAAATACGGGACAGCAAGATGAGGGTTCGAAATATGTAAATGTTACGGCGTGTTGCGAACGTTCCCGCAAGATCGATCGCAAGCGATCTGAGGCGATATTAAAATTTCTGACTAAACTTAAAATAGTCAAGTCATCGAAGAGTCAGGTACAACATAACGATTGCAAATCTGTGACTTCCAAGTAAGTATTTGTTGCTAAATAAAATAAGGCATGCGTATTTTTATTATCAAAAATAGAAACATAAGTAGAATACATTAAATTTCCTTTTTTTTTTTTTTTAATGAAGGAACGTTTTTTTATAAATGAGATATTAATAACATTTTTTTTTAAATAAGAATTTTCCTATCAATAAGATAAAAATATTGAAATTTAAGTTAAGAACACACACACATATTGTTTAACTACTAAACTGTTGTAATAATTATTTCATACATAATTTTCAATATTTCCAAAACAGACTCTAATTTATTATATTATTTGTTTTTAATATTTATTAAACTCATTGAAAAGGTACGTGAGAGTAAATAAAAAATAATTATATGTAATAATAATATTAATTATTAATAAAGGTTAATTTTGTAGTTGTAGCATTAGTCATGCTGGAGATACGATGAATTCATCATTGCGTCGCAATACATGCGAAAATGCGATCGATAAAAAACCTATCGACTCAACGATTGCTGCAAAGAGTAAACCAGTACCGAAATCCCCTGTCATAGCTTATGATTATGAGGCAGCTATTAGTCAGCCTGACATTCCCATATATTCAAAAATTGATAATAACACGCAGAACGCGAGTTGGTCGGAGTCCAATGATGAATTGCCAGCACCGATTAATAAAAGAAATTTTTATGTTACCGAAAAAACAAGTTTTACTACTAAAAAAAGGAGAATTATTTCTAAATCGAAGATACAAGCAAAAAAGGTTACAAAACCTCGTCCATCAATTTACGATGCCATTCGGATTAAAAAAGAATTATTACCTTCCTCAAAAATTATTCGAAACATTGAAAATTATAGACAGGAAAATAACGACGGAGTTATTCCGAATTGCCAAATGCCACTTAATCAAGTTCGTTTCCAAATAATCTCTTTATTTTAAATTTACTGACATTATAATTAATTTATGTAATATTCTCTGAAGAATTTGATACATTCTCGAGATGTTCAGGAGACGCTGGAAATCGTAAAAAATGGCAAAAATCTTACGAGAAAAGTTACCAACGTATTTCAAGAAAATTCTAATAAAATTGATAAAGATACAAGATCGTGTGTCCCTCAAAATAAGATCAGCAAAATTCCACGTATAAAACCACCGATAAAACCAAATTCCTTTTTATCTATAAATGGACAATCTCGTGATTATCCGGTACAATTACATACTTATTTGTCCGAAGAAAGCATTAATGTATTTTAGCATACTGAAAAAATTTTGGTTAGATTAATTGAAATTTTGATTGAAATGAACTTATTAGAATTTTTTGTTTAAATCAACTAAAATATTCAGTTATGATAACTGATATTCTGATTGATTAGATTCTTCTGATTTATCTATCTTCAATCAAATTTAATTTTATTTAACAGAGTGCAAAATTATCATTGAAAAATGAATTAAAATATTCCACGGAATCTTCCGCAGACGATGAAGAAGAAAAGATATTCAAGTACGTGAGTAAAATAGAAAGATAATTTGTTAGACGATAAATGTTCTGATAAATGATTATTAAATTTATGCTTATTTTTTATAAATAGGTTTTCTTAGTTATAAACATTAACAATTAGTTTCTAAGATAATTATTTATTTCTAATATTTTTATCTTATTTATTTTATCACGCTTATTTTTATTCTATTGACTAATTTATTATTTAATATGTAATAAATAATTTTCTGGTATTAATTTAAAATATAATTAAATAATTTGTATTAAATTTGTATATATAATTTTAACAAATTGGAAAACAGTTTGAAGAGGGAAACTTTATATGCTCTGGATTATAAAAAAACCAAAAACATTTTACCAATCGTTAATGAAAATTCGTAAGTTGAGTTTTTTAAAAAATAAAATATGTATATTTAGAATTTCATGTTTTATGTTGAAAAATACTGCTAACAATATAAGTGAAATTTTTGGCTTAGAAAGTTTTCGTGCCATGAAAAAAATTCAGAAATGGATGCTGATGAAGAATTCGAGGGAGATCTGTTGACTCCAACAAAGAATTCGCCGATCGTTACAGACACTGGCGATGATCCGCGTTCTGCTACATTGTTAAAAAGTTTGGCTCTAAAATGCGAATGTCGATCATGCAATGATTATAAATACGCTTCTACTATTTGTACTGATCAACATACCGAAACCGAATCCTGGAGCTCTCCCGCGATAGAAAATATGAAAAAATGGTAGAAAAAGATTATTTATTTAAAAAATACAAGAAAATTCAATTTTTTAAATATGTTGAAGCAATTACATCTGTATGTTATAATTTCTATGTAGGAAATCTATGAGGCATCGTAAGTTCATCGATGCGAGTTCCGAAGATTTGGACTTGTTATCGGATTATAACGCTATTAATTATAACAAGACAAAAAAGAAAAATAATGGATTGAATGTGGGTCATACTACGAAACAACCCTCGATAGTTCACACTAAAATGAAAACTTATCAAACAACCAGTTTCTCCTTTTTTAATGTCTTCTTTGATATTGTTTTTTGGCCTTTCATTTTCGTTCGTGCAAAACAATGACTCATAACTATGTATAATATCATAAATCTCTGTTACTTATTGTTACGTAGCTTGTTGATATTTTGTACCATATGCAATATTATGATAATGAACAAAAAACATGAACAAAAAACATTCTTGAAATTTATAGGAAGGTATACATGTGGATTTAATGTAAATATTACAAAAGTAATATTATCTTAAGAATCTATGAATTTCGATTTGCGAATTTGTTGTAATTTTATATATAGCATAACTGCGGTTAGGATTGCGATAAAAAGCGTTCCTAATATAAGTGAGAAGATTGTATAAAATTCATTGTTGCTTATGCTTTATACTTCTTTCGCTTTTGCCGTTGTGTCAACAGCTATTTCTTTGACTGGATTCCGTGTTTAAATCGTCTACCATGATTACTTTAAAATGTCGTCCAACACGAACCGCATCCGATAATAGTACCGAATTCGTCAAATTGTTTGAAGGTGATGCATACATTAACGATCGACGACGTCTTCCTGGCTCGATTTGCTAAAATAAGTTTTAAACATGCAAATTAAAAAATGCAAAAATTTCTAGTGTGGTTTGTATTATACAGTAAAAAATTTTAGATATTTAGAATAATTTATTTTGAAGTATTTTATGTACTATTATATAAGAATTTGTTGAATTGTAAACAATTAATGTTTGTCATGCAAATATTAATTTGAAAGAATTAAACATGTAGTTTTAACAGATATTGCAAATACTCACATAACACAGTTTTCTGACAATTTTGTTTTAAGTAAGTATTTTTGTATTTTTGTATTAATGTATACCATTCCATTCTATGATTCTAGATTTCAAATTCTATAAATCCGTTTTATAAAATTTACGGCTTATAATGCCGCACCTGATTGATCGAAATATACTAGGCCACTATCCAATCTCATCTCATTATATACGACAAACGTAATACAATTACGTAATGTTTTCTAATTCCACTATGCTAGAGACGTTTTTAAGACGTAGAACTTCCTCTGGATGTCATTAAGACATCCCTTGAAAAGCTGCATTGTTTGAGTAATCATAATTGAATTGACTTTTGTAACTTACTTGATTTGCTTCCGGACAAGGTTCACAGTTGATTTTACATAATTCGACATTACATTCGATGAATAGATCCAAAACATCGGGGAATTTAAAGGCTTGAAAGAATGCGTAAGCGATAATAGAAGCGCCTGTATTAGCCGTATCTTTTGTCTTTTGAAAGGCACCAAACAACTTCGGTTTCAAAATGCAGCCTCTTTCGTCGGTGAGTTGCAGTATGTTGGTCGAAATTTCGTTTCGCGCCACACAGTCGCGCACCTTCAAAATAATTATAAATGTTTGTTCAATTTATACTACATTGTTTTAAATTTAGAGCGTGTATATACACAATTATACAAAATATACAATAAACATACAAAATATATATAATACGAATATAAATGTAAAAAAATTATGTTACGTTACAAATACAAATAAAATGTGTCATAATTATTAAATATCAACTTTTTTGAGTACTGTATATAAATTAATTATATATTATGTTAATGCTATTTATTTTTTCATAATATTAAAACACACACAAATTATTATGTGTGTACGATTGTTTCTAACGTATACCTGAAGATCGAAATCAGGATCGCCTTCCACAGAGATTACTAACGTTAATGTTTCTCCAATTTGTATAGGTCTATTAACTGTAGGTGCAAAAGGTCCTTTGCCAATTTGAACATCCAGTTTGGCTATCGCAGTGTCACCATTAAAGGCAATGATCTCCTGTTTTAACATATCTACTAAAAGATTCACCCTTAAAGCTTTATTGATGTTTTCTTTCCAGAGACATCGTACTCTTTGAACTGTATCCCAGACTTCTTGTACACTCGGTTCATTCTTTAACAATAAACATTTTTTTATTTAAATATTTGACGTAAGTATAAACGATATTTTTGCAATCTAACAAACGAAGTCGTAATACCTCTTGCGGAAGTATTTATTGAGTTATTCGATACTATCTTTTTTGGCGTTTTTTTTAGGCCAAAAGAATATACGTGTCGCGGTATTTATCAATATGTGGCTTTGTTTTTGAGTTACACATTTTTGAAAATTTGAAATGTTAAACGAAATATTAAATATTAAAATATTTCACTCTAGCGAATCGGTTTCGTATTCATGTCTATTTATTAAGCTAGCGTGCACAATCGGGTGAAATGTAAAGAGAATTAGCACTCTTTTATTGTTCTAGCTTAGCAAAAAATCGGTTTTATGCTACCTTTTAAAAAATAGAATGCCATTAAAAATAATAACGATAATATATAATACAAATTCTCATACTATAATTTAGTGTTAATTATATGCTTTTAATATATCTTACAATAATTAAAATTTCTGTACATTATTAAAACGTATGTCATATTAGAGAAAACTATCAAATTAGCTCATAAGTAGCACTAAATTATAATATATAATGAGTAATTTTTTCTTAAATCTTTATTATTTTTGGTATTCGGTACTAACTTGTAATACAAGAACGTTTTCCAAATATGCTTGACCAGAACTTGTGAAATCGTTAATAAATTGAGTACCACAAGAGTCTAGATTTACAGTGAATGAGTACTGCGTTGAGCTAGAATTCTGTTCTACGTAGTTGCATTCCGGATTTGTATAATATCCCTGAAATTAAATATTAATACGTTATATTATTAATGATTGCTTTGATGCAATAAATTTTATTTCGCGCTTACCTTAGAATAAATAATGCCGTTAAAAACACGATTAAATTCAATATTGATCGTCATCATTGTCTTACTGCATTCGACATTAATGCTATGAATATGGGGAGGATGATTAAAATCATCGTCAGTTTGAATCTCTGGACGATAAAAATATAAATTATCTTTTTGTATATTTTATGTATTATAATATATTTATGTTGTATGTGTGGTAAAGAGATACATACCTCCAGTGTCAAGACTTGAGAAACTAGTTTCGGTTTCAGGAGTTTGAGGACCTGCTTGTGCAGTTGGTACATTAGAAACAGTACTTATGCCAATTTTATTTTGCGTTGTAAAAGGAGAGATTGGTCTTCTGGTAGTTGTCGAGGTAATTGAAGGTCCTAAAGATTCTGAACACTTATGCCAATTTTATTTTGCTTTGTAAAAGGAGAGATTGGTCTTCTGGTAGTTGTCGAGGTAATTGAAGGTCCTAAAGATTCTGATGATCCTACAAATCCTGTAAGTCCTGAGAAATCTAAAGGTTTTGAGAGTTCTGAGAATCCTGAGGATTCTGGGAGTTCTGAGGATCCTGAAGGTCTTAACGATCCTGGAGGTACTACGAATCCTGGAAGTCCTGAGGGTTTTGTGATTCCTGATAATCCTGATGGTCTTAATGAAACTGAGGGTCTTGAGAATTCTGAGGATCCTGAGAATCCTGATGATTGTGAAGATCCAGAAAATCCAGAGAATCCTGAGGTACTTGAAGGCCCCGATAATTGTAGAGGTCCTGAAGACTGGCTTGACAATTCTAAAATATGGCTACCCGTTGCAATCTGGATGTTCTGTGTGTAATAATTTAATATATTTAATTAAGTATATTACATACAGTATACGAGATTAATTTGATGCATTATTATAGTATTATACATATCTAATACAGTACTTACAGGATTTACAAAAGCATCTGCGCTAAATCTAACAAGATTTACATTTCCACTGTCCAAAATGTCATCAGTTGGATTCCTAATAACCAATTGTTTGCCAGTCTTGGAGGTCGACTGAGATTTTGAATTAGGCAACGAGAATATCAGAGTTTGCGGTGTTACACAAGTTGTTGACGATTTTGAGCAATTTAGTGGCAAAAGGACCCGCTGCAATTGATTCGACTGAGGATTGTAGAATGTTGAACCATTAAAATTTTGCGGAACATTTTTTGAGGATTGTTGACTATTCGATTTTATTGAATATGGTATGGATGGAGGTTGTTCAAATGTTGAGAAATTAATATTTAGCGGGGTGGAGATTGATGATGGTCGAATAGTATAATTTATTTCGTCCCTTTTCTGAGAGTTCTTGACCTGGAAGGGTTGCTTTCCGAGTGGTTGTTGGTTGCCGAAGGCCGACAAGTACACATTTGGATCCGATTGCCGACGAACTGTAAAAATGTATTAACTTATAAGTGATATGCCCATCATAATAGATTCCTTAATTTCCGTGAATATAAGAAAACATGGCATCAACGAAAAGAGTTTTTTAAAGTAATTTAATATTATTTTTTTCACTATTACTTGTACGATAGATTTTTTTACGTAAAAAATCTGTTATTTAGCATTTTAAAGTATAAAAACAAAATATTAAATAAAGATAAAATATTATAAAGAATTATACATGGATTAGAGTTCTTTATTTAAAGCAATTCTTGATCTTCTGTCATAATTACATGAAAATTTATAATAATTTGAATAAAATGTTGCCCAAATAGCCTGTCTGTAATTCTACTTTCAACGTCAGTGATCTCTACAGGATGTCTCAATAAAATTATAAATTTTTTCTCATATATGTTTTGATTTGAAAGTAAAGAAAAGTATCAATACCAGTGCTTGAAACACTTTCGGTTTCAGGAATTCTTGCGAATCCTGAGACTCTTGGAGATCTTGAAGATTTCGAAAATTCTGAGAATCCTGAGGGTTGTGAAAATCCTTCTGCAAATCCTGAAGCTCGTAAAGATCTTGAGGCTTTTTCTTGGGAAGGATGAGTTGACACTAAAACGGTACCCCCTCCAAACTGAAAATTCTACATATGATAATTTAATTGATTATATTACATTTATGACATATTCGAAATTAAGCATAGTATATGTATATATGTATTTAAGGGAGGTTTCTATCTTGTTGAGTCAAAAAATCGATTTTTTTACATATGCTTAAAGATTGTGTTTTCAAAAATATATGGTAAAAATTTCAAATCAAAATTCGAAAAATTGATCGAGTTACAGCCTATTGAAGAATCAGGTAGCCTTTCGAAGCGCTAGGACGGAGCCTGCGAGGATAGGACTTATCTGCGCGTCGTCCTCTTTTGTTTGGGTCTTTGCAGCTGCTCTATTATTTTTTTGTCATATTTCTACGTGACCGTTAACCAGGTCATTTTCTCCATTTTTATTTCGGTATACTTCGAAACGTTGAAGTGAGATCGCCGACTAGCTGTAACATAAATACTACCTAAACTTTAAACGCGTTTTTCTCAAAACGGCGCTTTTTAAGTTGATGGAAGTTCTGTACAAATCCCAAATAATGCGATCGATATGATTTTGGTCTTAAAATGTTTGGAAATACCACCTCTCTAAAGTAGACTAGAATAAAGAGAAAATATTGAAAACTTTTTTTTCATGAATAAACAACTGCAACAATTTTTCGTAAAAAAATTTTTTGTTTGAACGATTATAATTTACTTAAAAATTTTTGTAATTTTTTAATTTTAGTCTATATGAAGCATAAACCTCTATAGATTATAAAAAAATTTTTGTTTTTTTTTTCAAATCACTTTTGAAGCCTCTAAGAACTTCCATCAGCTGGTAATATCGTTCCACCGCACACTCTGCTTACCCGCGGGTCCGCCCAGCTTATCTATTACTTAATTTGTTGTAGCGATTTTTTTTATGTTTAATTAAAATAAATTTAAATGTATTCCAAATTTTAGAATTTTACTTTTAATAGTTTCTTTTCTATAAATTCCTAAAAATTCATAAACTCATTTTTCCTGACCAACAAAGTAGAGAAACCCCCCTTAATACTAGACTTACAGCGTTTGTAGCAACATCCGCCTTAAAAGAGAGAGCAGATGTTGTATCAATATTTTTGGAGGTTCCAGCAACATATCCCTTTTCCTCTTGACCCGTTCCTCTGCCTAATTGTTTGCCAGATTTGGAGACGGCACGAAGTGATCTTACACTTTTTGATGAGAAAAGCGGAGGTTGGGGTGGTAAGTGAGTGAACGACGATTTTGAGAAATTTAGAGGCGAAAAAGTCAATGAGTGCTGATTTAGTTGAGGATTGTAGGATGTGGAGTTTCTAAAATTTTGTGGTATACATTTTGCGGTATATTGTTGGCTACTTGGAGTAGAATATGGTTTAGAGGAATATTGTTGCTCGCAAGTTGAGTAACTGATCTTCGGCGGGGTGTAAAGTCGTGACGGCTGCTCCACGTGATAGTTCGATATATCGTTCTGTTGAGATTTTTCGAATGATTTTTGTTGCGTATTAAAGATTGGCACATAAGTACTGGAATTCAATTGAGATCGAACTGTGAAAATATGAATATTTTACTTGTTAAAAGACTTTATTATAATGATTTTTATAAACATAAGATAAGAATTAGCGAAAAGTATCGTAAATACTATATGTATATTGCAAATTACTTCGTAAACATCATATTACTTAAATAGTAACCTTTTTCCCTCTTCTCTTAATTAAAAAATATTTTACTTACTACATATTTATAATATACAAATTAAAATATTACATTAATTATAAAAATGATAAAATAAAATCGATAAATAATTAAAATAAAAAGTTGCTAAAAATGTACTATTTTTTATTAAAGCTGACAATAATATTATTGTATGAACATCGATTATTTTTATATATAATTGTTTTACAATTTTATTTAAAAAAATAGCAAAAATAATTGAGAGTATAAAAAATCTTAAGACTGTAGCTTTAAAATAATTAAAACTTAAATCTATATAAAAAAATCTTAAGAGTATAGCTTTAAGAATTAATGAAGACTGTATTTTGAGACTTATCAATATTTTATAACAAATAATGATTTATATTGTCTGTTATAATAGCAAGTATTAAAGTCAGTCTCAGTATCGAACGTGAAGCATCTTATGTAAATATTAACTAAATATTGCGATAAGATTAATTAATTGTATATAAAATTAGGAATAATAATTTTATACGTTTCATGTTTAAACTGATAGAACAGTATTGGCTGTGTATTGTCCCAACCTTTTTGGCACTCAAAATTTCAATATATGTATATTTGTGACATGCAATACCTCATTAGATTATCAAACACGATTGATTAATAAATTTCAAGTAATTTATGATCAAGTTTTATAATAATATCATATATCAATTGTGCCAATTTTTCCTTGGTTGCGCTTAAAGGAGAAGTGAATGATCATTGAATTTTTTCGCATTATTCTTACCGGAATTTGTATTTGTGGTTCTCTTAGAGATTGTGCGACCACTGAAATTCTGACCGCATATCATTGTACCCAAAAGAGTAATGAAAACAATCACCAAGATAAACTTCATCTCTAGAAAAAAAAATGTAAATTTTATTTTAACTATAATTATTAAATATTTGTTTACTATTTGTTAATTTTAACAATCACGAGTTAAATTTTTTAATTGCATTAAAAATTAATGTTAAATGTAACAATATTTAAAAATTAAAACTCTAATCTATAATAGTCTGTATAACTATATAGAAAATTTTTAAAACTTATATTAATAAATCCTTTATAAAATTCTCAAGATTAATATTTTTACCGATGAAAATAAGTTATAGCGGTCTAAGCTGGGTCAGAGTTCTTCTATATAATTAATTACGTGTAAATTTATGTACTACGTATGTAATATGTATAAATTTACACGCAATTATATAGAAGCATTCGTGATCCAACTTAGACCGCTACAGCATGTTCTCATTGGTTTGAATTCTCGCGGTCCAATAAGAATTGAGATATCGATTAATTTTTGTATTTATTAATATAATTATCTTTAATTATAGCGAGTACTAAAAGTATATAATAAAATAAGTAATGAGAAGGATCTATATGTCTAAAACAATATATAAATATAAGAAGGGCGAAGAGCCTAGAATTTTCCATGTAATAATACATTTAATCGAACAATTTAAAAATATTTAAATATACAGTAATAATCTTTATTATAAAGTAACAAGTAATACGTTAATTTCTAATCCTGGAAATAATTACTTCGTACAAAATCATATTTGATGTTGTGATGATCAAGTGTTATCAATGCGGATGATTGTGAGAATATTAAAATATATTTAAGGATAATAGGCCGCGCAGATGGCTCATAAGTCGGTTTCCTCATCGAAAGAAGAGAGAAATCACTATTAATGGTCATATTCGATATTTATGGCTATATAATTGCAGCTTTTGACATTTGATGTTATCGTGCAAATAAGATGACTTGTATTAAAAAAAGAAAGGCGAATATACAAACGTTAATTTCTCTTTTAATGTCTCTTTGCATTCTAGATAGTGTATACTGATTCTATTCTATGTACGTGATGGTTTAACAATTTTGAAAATCTCTGTTTACAAATTATACATATAGTTATACGTTTTTAGACACGATATTATAAAAATTTTCTTTTTTATAAATTCTTTTATTACTTAACAAATAAACTTTAATTTCGATTTATATATCAATATATAAATGAATCATTTTACATTAAAATAATTACTAGAATACGATACTTGAGGAAGTGATACTATACATGTTTAATCCTTCGTATAATTTGATAAATAAGTAATTATCGCTCTTTTGCAGTATCATAAAATACATAAACATCTTGCATAATTATATTCGCCCGTTTTCTTAACAAACCTTTTAGTATCTGTAAGTATAAGCATCACTATTTAAAAGTCTCATGATCATTCTTCATTCAATCGAACATTGTACTTACAGAAAATCATCGTGTATTCTCACACGGATGCTTTTAAGTTTATGTCACTAATTCATTGAAATCGCATTGTGATCGATTGTAGCATCACTTTTGATTGCTACCCACATGTTTGATGTTTTATCGTATCAATAGGATAAAATATCGAGAATTCGTGATTGAGAGATCCCAACAGTGCAAGTGGGACTATGATTAAGTGAGGTGAAAGGTAAAAGTCACCATGTCGGCTAGAGAAACATTGATCGAATGAAGCATAGTAAAAACATTAAATATACTCAATTCATGTCGTATTAAGAAATGTATTGAAGATTATCTTCATCATTCATCCGAAGATTATTTCTCTTACCTAAAATTAATTAGATACGAAGAGTCAAAGATTTTACTAGAGAATTTACGCACTGTGCATTGCACAACTCTTTGTACATTCTTGTATATGTATTATGTTACTTAATATTAGATAAATTATAAATGAACTTTCACTTTTTAAATGTTGTAATATTAATTTGTCATTATAAGAGAGAGAGAGAGAGAAAGAGAGAATTCCTTATTTAGGAACATAAATAAGATGCAGTTTTAATTTCGAAGATCATTAATCATTATTGTATTAATACAAGCAACAATGACATAATTTCTGATGTATGTATGAAAGATTAAAATTTTGTCATTTTTATATTTGTACATTTTATTTATTCGAAAATAATACAACATAAGCATGTATCGTATTCTTTCTTTTTTGTGCGTTTCGTAAAATGTAATTCCCGATAAATGTCATGAAGCACATGAAATGAAGATCCCTAATAATAATTTCTTCTTTTATACGTCAAAGTCACTCATCAGATACCATGCAATATAGTCTCACAAAAAAAAAATTATTTTATTGCAAATAAAATGATTTTTGCTTTTGTAAATAAACAATAATTGCTTTGTTTTAGAATGCACTTGATTTATTGTTAAAAAAAAGCTTTGTTATAAAGCTTTAAAAGAAAATAATGAAAAATAATCGTTTTTGATTAGTCTGTCACGTATGCACCACTTCTTTTAGTCAACGATTTCTTACGATATCCTTGAATAAAGCAGACAGTAATTTGAGGGAGTAAATAATAACAATAAACTTTAATCCACTCAAAGATATTTAAAAGATTATTAATTTGCCTGATCAAAACGTGAAAGGAGTACATATGGAGTTGGGAGACTAATTACAACATTTTTTTTTTATAGTGAATAAAACTCGTGCATTAATGAACTAAGCATATTAAACAACAAGAAAATTGTTCAAACAAACATTATGAATATAAATCTCTATAAAGTAATTTAACAAACTTAAAATTTATAAAATATATATTTCAAAAGAATATAAACTAACACAAAACTATTAAATTTGGAAAAATCACACATACACAAATGATTCATTAAGTTATAACAAATTAAAGAGTAAATTATAACAAAAATGATATTTTCAAGTTTAAGATGTAACTGAATACCAAGAGCACAGGTCAACTTTTTAATTTTGCTCTTATCTCGTTAATTTTATATGTTAACTCATAATCACTCGACATAACGATGTTTGTGACAAATTTATTTAATGTTAAAACACAGGAATTGTTGAGGTTGAGTTTTTCATCGCCACTAGCTAATTCACTAGTCTGAGTATGTGGCTCACCTCACAATTGTTGTTGTCGCTATCGGTGGAATATTTATATGGATTTTCCAGTTAATTTTTACTGACTTTCTTACTTGAAAATGTTGTTGAAGATGACTTAAAATAGGAGTCGAAACGTACGACATCAAAGTGCATAAGTTTGTAATATTAAAAAATATATATTCACTAATTATAACAGTTGACTCATATAGTATATGTCACTTTTGTTATAATTTACTCTTTAATATTTCAAATAATTATTAATTTATTCTTATCTGATACATAATATATACATATATAATATATATGAATGTACATATAATAATACAATTTTCATGTATATATATTTAATACATGTATATTAATACTAAATTTAATAAATATTATATTTAAAAAATTACCTGTAAATAAAATCCTTTCCGTATATAAGAAATGATTTCCTAGGTGCTGAAGTCGATCTTCTGTCACGATATGGTTAGAAGATTTGTGTTATGTGCTCTTATGGAAAAGGTAAGAGTGAATAGTTATAAACATCATTATTTCAGCTTTATATAGATATTATACTCCCTTATCTATAGGCGGACTCTGTAAAATACGATTCGTGCCATCACTTTCACTATATGTTTGTCGTAATTTTATTTACGGGATGAAAGAACCATCTGTCGACGAAATTAAGTGCATCAGACACACATACACAAATATTTTATTTTAAAAAAAGTATATGAAAGAAATTTTTTTTTCTATAAAACTAAAACTATATATGTGTGCGCGTCTTTTCTTAGGGGGATAAAAATTGTTTAAAAGTACATGCATTATTAAATATAAAATTATTTGCTTAAAAATAAATGTAAAATTAATTTAATTTGACAAGTGCATATTACTGGAAAAAATCTATATCTAAAAAGAAAACACTATTGGAAATATTACATATATTGTTCATTTGCTGCAACTACACATAACTAAATTTAAACTACATACTAAAAGCAATGCTTTCCAGAAAATACATTTAAATGTTTTGATACATTAAAATTTTGTAATATTAATTATGGAATACAATTTTGATATAACTAACAACTTATTTTATTATCTATTTTAAGGGGCTAAAATAATTAATATATTGCAAAGTTGCAATATATTAATTATTAATTAATGTTACGATCTACATTTATTAATAATTTATTTGCAATATGTATAATTTTTCTATTTAGTGCAATTTTGTAATTTTTTTTTATAGTAACAACGTTAATATTTAAATTTTATTTTACCTAAATTAAAAATTTTTTTTTAATATTGAATAATATAAATGTAAAATATGATACATATTATCTATACATATATTTAGGATTTTGCCCACTCGCCTTATAGCGAGATTCTGATTGAGAGTCTCTAGAAACTTTATTATCTATCTCTATCTTCGTTGCGGCAACGTTAGAAACCTTTCTTCACCATATCTTAGTTTTTTAGAACGGCCGTACACCATAGGGTGATTCTAAATATCATCGGGTAAAATCAAAATGTTATAAATCCCGAGTGTCTTCATCATGCTTTGTTGTCGAATATAATTGAAAAGTAAGTATGCAAAGCACGAAAATAAGAACATAGCTTGAACTCAAATGTCGAAATAAAATGTTGAGCATATTCTGAGATACTCGGATCACAAAGAATGATGTTTACATGTGTCGCAAATACAAACGCGAATATAAGTATGCTTTCCTTTTAGAGTTTAGAGGACACACTCGACACCATATATTATGAAATTCGAAGCGCGGACGTATGTATGAGTGCGTGTGTGTGCATATAATGTTGAAATTTAATAAATTTTATATCACATTATTTAGTGAGTGTTATTAAAAAGCATCTCAATAAATGTTTTTAAAAACAGCTTTTATTTCACGCGTCATGCCCATGTATGTATACGTGCCCACGTTGTATGTACATACATACACACGCACGCACCTACATACACACCTAAGAGAAAAACCTAAAAACGGTAATCCTTTTTTTTACGTTTATTTTGCAAAACCGTATAGATAAAATCTAGTGTCGGAGATGGATGCATACCCGTGCTAATAACGGCCAATCCTGGCTCTTATTAGCATGGACACACACCATATATTAGTATCCTTAGAGAAAAACTATTTGGTACTGATAATTATAAATTTTGTTAAACGTTTCTTTAACTCCTACATGGAGCATAGGGCTTCTAATAAAGTTTTAGTAACAATAGATTTTTTTCTAGTATTATTAGCCTAATGTTTAACCTCCAGATTGGGAGATACTTACATATACCAACTGATATGTGAGACCTACAATTTAACGTGGTTTAACGTCAAATCCAAACGGCGCTGGTGATCAAAGATTTCTTACCAGAAGGGACATGGAACCATTTTGGGCTTGTCAAAAATCACGTATGAGTGTGATCGCGCAAGTAAGGTAAATGATTAAATAATTATAATTATTTGAATCATTTATTATAGCCATTTCAACCATTTTTGTAAAAACTGTATAATTATAATCATTTTCAATTACCAACTATATAATATTGGCACGAGTTTTCGGATTTCCACCCGAGTGTCATGTCATCAGTATCAAGATTGGAGTAATGTTTGGGTAATACTCAGGTGGGAATTTACGTTGGTTGATAGAACTATACATACATAATGGTTATTGTAACTAATAATATGGTACTGTAGTTGTATAGTCACAATTATTATTATAGTAATATGAAATTATATATAATTATAATTATCAAATAGAGTTTTTTTCTCAGTATACTTAATAATACCGTACGAATTGCTATCGATTTACTGAAAGATTTTTCGTTGTTATTTACACTTATTTTGCAAGCAATAAATTCGAAACTTGGATATTTTGAGAGTAATAAAATTAGACAATACTTGTATCTTTAATCGAACAATAAATTTTTTCTGGTACTTTATTCTTACAACTGCTTACATGCTGAGAAATTATTTATTGTTATTTGTACTATTTTACAAGTAATAATTTCGAAGTTTAGATATTTTGGTAACAAATTAGCAACAAATTTCTATGTCATTTTAAGTCCACTTTTGTTCATATACTTTCTCTAACTTAATCTTTCCTTAGTGAATATTATTTTGAATACAAAATTTTTCAAAAAAAAATTGTAAAATAATTTTTTTTTTATAACCAGTTAACAATAAATAAAAACATTAGAGAGAGAGAAGAGAGAGAGAGAGATAAAATTAATTTTATTCATTTTGTTCCGCTTATCAGATGTGCATGAGATGTATCCCGAAAGAACCAGACAATCCAATAGATAAAGGAAGGAATCCAGCCATAAGTCGATTATAGACTGTAACATATTCTTGTTTCTGGGCAAGTAAAAGTGATTGACGACTGGAGACCATAATAGAAAGATTCTGGTAAATATGAACTACATTTATCACAATTTGATAGATCAACCAATCATAATAAAAGAAGAGAAATCTCCTTTAATTCAACGATTAATTACGGATATCTCAGAAGAAGATGTCGATATCATTAGTATCAAAAGCGAGGAATGTATTACACAAAATGAGATAACAAACGATGATAACGATACAAATCTGAAACAACAAGAAATTAACGTGACAGAAAATATAGACTTATCACCGACACTTATCAGAAATCATATAGTCAACCATACAAATCAAACGGAGGAGGCTACAAGCGAAGAACTCTCTGAAAATGACGAAAATAAAGAAGTCGATAGGAACTTATCTTCTCCAGAATTTCAATCTGATGATACCCGGGAAATGAACTTCTTGGAAGAGCTGCAACATGCAAAAGAAAAAGAAAAGCAAGTCAAAAAGCAAAAATTAAAATCAAAACAATGTACTAAAATTTTGAAAGAGACGGATGCGATTTCTGCGAATTCTACAGTAATAAAATTACCTTGGATAAGCAAAAATAATAGCGAATACACACACGCACATACACAATATGACAATATTAGTAAAACCCTTGAAAACATAAATATATTACTTGGTAATACAAATAATAGTAAAAACAAAGTTACAAGTAGTCCAAACACCGTTCAATTTGATACATTTAACATAAATCCTACTATAATAAATAAAGAGGACGAAATTAGCAGTAAGTTACCACAAATTACCATCGATAATACTAATAATGCGAATAGTTATCAAATGGAGGCAGATCAATCATGTAGTTCTGCAGAGACAGCTCAAAGTTCCATAAATAAGGATATTGTCGCGTTAAAATATCTCGGTTTAACTAATTCTTCGCAGACAGTTAAAAATAGAGTTAAACGTAAGCGAAGAGTAGGAGGACGCAAGTCACGAAAGCAAAAAGTGACGGTTTCATCTCCGGAAACATCCACAAGTTTAAGCGATATCGCGCAGTTAGAGATTGATGAGGAAGAATTGTTACGAGAAATCGAGGATGAGTTGAAGTACAAACAGGAGATCTTATTGCGTAAACAACGTATCGAGACTATGCGAGAAATCGTGAATAATTTGAAAAAGGAAAACCCCTATAGAAAGGAAGATGATGAACAAACACGTCAAAGACAAGCGCGGATAACCACAGCCATAAATTCTTATCGACAGTTCAAAAATCAAGGTACTCCTTACGAAGATAATTTTGTCATTAAAGATCAAACGGGTTCCGAAGCATGTCGATTTAATGTGAAGTTCACGATCGAAGATTTACAACCGACGAGTTACAATAAAGGACAACGAGTATACAGAATAATTTACGACTTCGCAGAAGGACGATTAAAACGCACCATAAGCTTAGGGGCCGCGAGTGAGACAAATCAACAAGTAGAATTGCAACATCTACAGGAAATCCAACCATCAACATCCATGAACAAGGCAGATATTAGACGATCAGTAAGAAAGAAAAAAATACCAAATTCCTTCTTATCATTCACTACGGATACAAAAGACAAGTCGCTTAGCGAAAAACGCAGGCAAATGGCACTTACCCGAGTTCGTAGAAGAAATGGCCAATTTATCAAGACAAGCAAGAACACACAAAAGTCGACCAAATAGTCAAATGAGAAATCAAAAAACATGAAACCTAGAGTAAGTATTTTTAAGTCTCGACGATCTGAGAAATAAGTTAAACCTGCGTAAAATTGCACAAGGTAAAACTTGACAAGAAGATTGCAACCTCGTTGATTGAGACCAATCGTATTATTGGCACTGTATAATATTCAGGAGATAAACTAGATGATAGGAATATTGTCACAGAAAGCTAGCCAGCTGAATCAGTGGAGAATAAGCTATGCTATTATATATAATACACAACTTATAAAAAATAACCAAGTGATGGTGACGACAACTTCTAAAGATGACATGAAACAGCAATCAGAGATCGAATAAGATGCAGTTTTGAAAGTGAACGTTGACTTTATAAATAATAATCATAAAAAAAGGATTGAAAGGTGATTTTAAAGATATTTGCTCTACCGCTAAGAGAAAAAAGGTATGAAAAATAGGTTTACTCGAGATTAAAGTTAATCCACATCGCAAAGTAGGATCGATAGTTATAAATAGTGATTCCATAAATTCGAAATATGAAATGAAATTAAAAATATATTTGTCTACAAGTACATTTTAATTCGTAATCTGTAAGTTTACTTGATAAACACTAATTGTCTCGATAAATACTAATTGTTATTTGAGAAAAATAAATGTGAAATCAGTAGAGTTATCGTATGCTGTTGTTTAAGACTAAATAGAGTAAGCATTGATAATATAATAATAAAATCAGTGTTAATACAATAGAGAATAAAATATTGTCAGTAATGTATTATATCATGACTTTTTATTGATTTTTCTTACATAATTATTGGAGGATTTGAAAAAGGCTCGAAACAGAAGCTGAAATATATAATCGACTTTTTGCGTTATTATTGTATTGAATGTAATTGCGTATTACTTTAAACAGTCAGAAAGCTTTCATATGCACAAATAAAATTATCGCGTTTGACTTGTGTATTTTATTATAACTCTTGTTTTATTATATAATAAGAGACCTTTTGTTTATGTTTAGTTAACAGATTACATTGATTGCATTTACTTCGTTAGTTCTTTTAATAATGTATCATAATTATTTTACGAATTTGCCAGGATTTACAAAACATATGCAGCGTCCAACTCTACCCGTCTTGATCACCAACTGATTGCAACAGGAAGAAATAGGATATTGTAGTATTCATGAACTATCAATGAAAACAATACAATTAGAATTATTATGCAAAAGATATACTTACAATTGTGATATACGTATAACTGTAAATATTATTAGTTAATGTAAACACTTTTTGAATAAATATTTATTCCTTGAATGGAATACGCTATATCGGAATCTATTGTACAAATAAATTTAGTACAATAGCAATTTAATTAAATACTTACATTAGTAAACATGGTGATACAGACTGGCGAATAAAATGCACTTACAGTTATTGGCTTTTGCATCATAATCAGAACAACGTTAGTTCTCACGTGACGACTAAGATTAGAATTAAGCCATTCGCCAAAGTATATTCCATTACGAAAGTCCTCGGCCTAAACATATATATCTAAATTAAGTAATTTTCAGAGTTATAATAATGTATTTACAGGATTATTAAAACTTACCGCACTTGTGAGAATAGTGCCATACCATGAGTATGTAAATGTTTGCAGCAATTTTATTAAAGCATATGACACAAATATGTATAAATTATTGAAATCCGAAAACTATTACAAATGTTTAATAATTAATATTACATCATCGAATATTTATATAAAGCTATGTAATATTGGCCTGGTTTACATCGTGAAAGAATTGGTACTCGTATTAAATGTGTTTCATGCGTTTACATCGCCATTTGTATCATTTGATACGCGTATCAGTTTAGTACGATAGTCCTGCTTGATACGCTCGTACCAAAATAATCCGACAGCGTTTACATCGTGCGTACTAAATGTTTATAGTACGAATTTGATACGAATATAGTACCTAATACGCGTATCAAGTGCACAATGTAAACCAGGTCATTATCACTGTTTAATGAGAAGTGAGATACTTGTAAGCGCAGTCTTCATCTTTACACACTTTTAGAAAAGAAAAAAATATTATTTAAATATATATGTTGTATTTTTTACTTTAGTTATAGTATCCGCAAGAAGATTATGACATTTTCTTATTAAATATTCTTAAAAATTCTCCAAAATGCTTTTCGTCTTGTAACCAATTGTGACTGCGTATAGCACATTATGGGTTAAGTATTACAAAATCACAAACATTGATGTTACATTAATGTATACACGTACTGTTGTTACGTTATATATCAACGCGCAAAGAAGTACAGCGTTGGAGATAACATGCCAAAAGACGATGGGTCCATAGACATGCTCCAGTGTGTCGCGACATCGCATTAGTCTCTGATGCTTTTCCACGCACATCCTCAGCAGATCTAAAAACTTTTCAGTGGGCAGAGGATTCATGAGCCTAAAGCTCATGGCGCGCATTGTCGAGGAGAACTGGTAGACATAGAAACCAAATGCGGTGTCAACGCTGTACGCCGTTATCAAGCTGAGTGAACAGGAAGTTTCGAATAGTAGATGTAGATGATATAAAAGGTTGGTGGGAACAGTCCAGAAATATCCGTATCCTCCACTGACTGGTAGGGTAAAGTTCGTAGTTAAATGGGAATGCAAAAGACCTCGGATTATGAGGAAATATGGGGGCGTAAAATACCCCAAGATCAATAAACTTGAAACCAAGAAATATCCATACGCCATAGTGCATGTCTTACGTAATGCCGAAAATACTACCGTTTGAACTTTTTTATTCCGCGTAAGCTCCTCCTCGAAAAGATTATTCAGCATTCGGTGATAATTTATCAAGGCGCCACGATTTATCGCGAAAGTCCCCACCTTAAAAAAGATATGAAATGCATTTTTTTTCTGCGCAAATCAAAGAAATTACTTACAGATTATCATTTAATTCACAATTTTTGATTTGTAATATATGAATTTTAAATTTAAAATTTCTTCCTTATTGAGAAAAATTAATATTACAAAGGAATAATGTCAAATAATGATTATTTACAGGACTCATTAATGCATTATCTATAAATACGCTGTATTTCTTAATGCTGAAATGTTATCGATACGTAAATTTTACGTATAATTGAACGGAATTATTAGGTCCTAAACTATATCTTCAGTGGTCTGCACTAAAAAGTCCTATGTGCCATACTAAAAGTTAGATCAATTGAAAATAAGTCTTTAAAAATTTTATTTTTATTGATTTCTATCAATCGGTTTCCCTGGTGCTTTGTAACATGACAGAGAGCGAGATATTTTTAAACGGTCATGTGTTATATTCTTTTTATCATTATTATATATTTTATTTTCTTTATTGAGCCTCAAATAATTGGAGTATATGTTCCATTATTGTTTGAAGATTTGATAACGTGATTTATATTTTTTTCTTTTTTCTTAAATTAATATTTAGGTTTTTGTGTTTATAAAAAGTTTAAATTATTAAAAACAAAATTATTTTGCCATTAATAAAGCGTGACGTATGAAGAATTTGTATTACATTAATTAGAAGTAACCTATTTCAATGTACCTAATACATACATAAATACGTAAAAATTATGTATCGACTGTAATACTGTATTGGTCATTACTCATTAGCAATAACATTTTGGAGTTAATAAATTGTTTCTGTTACTAATTTTCACTGTGTATTATATACACAGTACATATATTTATGTTATTGATGTAATAATATATATAATAATAATAATTATATATATATATATATATATAATAATCACATAGCATAAATTAGTACACATACATATATATATATTTCAAATATATTTATATTCAATTAGATTGTTCCACCTTTCGATAAACTTCAGCTCACTATATTTTACTCTTACTGTCTTATACTCTTATTCGTTTACTCTTTCGTTTATCCAGTAAATGAATTATCACAAAAGGTTTGTTTGTATTGCATGCCTCAACATGCTCTAAAACATGCTTACTCCGATGAGCATGTAGGAGTGAGGAGTTATGATGAAAGCATGTTGGAACATATTGAAAAATGCGATGCGAACAAACCTATAATTGGTAAAAGTACCGATCGATAGAAATCTCCCCTAACAGTACAATCATATAGCAACAGTACAATCATGGAAGTCGTGTGTCCCTTGGCAAGGGGGGGGGGGGGTGAAAGTTACCTCGTGTGGAAAGTTTAACGTTCCTGAACATCCTATATAGGTGTAGAATAGTTCTTAATATCATACACGTATTATATATCATACGTTAATTTTAAAACTATTATTGTTAATAACTTTTGAACGAAGGACAAGCGACGGCTAAAACCTGTTGGAGGTTACTCATGGTCATGACCTTGACAACATATGTCAAGGTCAAGGTCATTGGGGGAGGGTCCCCTAATCGGTACTTTTACCCTACAATTTATACAAAAATGGGACACAACCGACTCTTAGGCCTATCGCACATGAAATGCATAATAGAGCATGAGCATAACATAAAACTGTTGGACCCATAAGCATTCAGCATAAAGTTGCCATATTAATTAACATAAGATGCTCATTGATCCAGTGATCTTATGTTATGTTTATGCACTGTTATGCATTTCATGTATTTTGGGCTTTAACGTACCTTATGTATTATAATATATATATATATATATATATATATATGTATATATATATATACTACATATATATATACAGGGAATGGAAGTAACTAGAAAAAAATGCAAAAGTACATTTTTAAATTGATTTTAAAAAAGTAACGGAAAAGTAACGTAAAGTTATTTTTCAAGTAACGGTAACTATAACGAGTTACTTTTAAAAAGCGATAACTGTAACTGTAACTAGTTACATTTTTTACTCGGTAACGAGTAACTGTAACTAATTACTTTTAAAAAGTAACTTCCCGTTCCCTGTATATATACATAAAACATTTGTAATATAGTGTTGTGACATGCTCGACTTTTCAATTGTTCATTTGTAATATATAAAATGCAATTTTCCTCTAGATCATACCTTAAGAATGGCGCTAACGGCACTTATTGCTAACCCTACACATTTCATCAAATTCATCAAATTATGTCTAAAGATATAGCTCATATGTATGGTTAAGGTTGCAAACATTATCATTATAAAGATCACACAAAGTGCGTAGTAATACGTGGATTTGTCGGAGTTTGGCGTATACCAACATCCACTTATAATGAGCAGAGTTCGAATGAAACGTTGATAGAAGCGGTACGCTTGCAACTGTTTATCCATTTTTTTCATATCTGCATTAAATATATAATTCAAAGAGACGTCGAAAGGCTTCTAAACTGGAAAAACGCATTAATTTTACATGTTAGAGAAATAAATTTTAAATATAAAGTATAAAAGTATTAATAAATGCTATAGCAAAATATTTAAATCTATTTCGTTAGTTGTTCACTAAAAGTACAATTAAGATTTTCATTACATTGAAACATTTGATATGCTTGAATCTCTTTTTTCACTGATATTTAATTGTATACGATTATAATATTATTCTTTGATCTATATAGATTAAACATCACAAAATTGTACATTAATGTTTTCATATATTGGCATTGCGTCATATATGAACGTATAAAGAAACATGGCATTAGAGATAATATATAAAAAATAATAAGAACCACGAAAAAGATCCAGCGTATCGCAGCAATGAAGTAGCTTCTAATGCTTTGCAACGTATATATATATATATATATATATATATATATATATATATATATATATATATAACATATTTTCAACAAGATCGTAAACTTCTAGGTAGATAGAGAATTAATGAGCCTGAAGGGATCATAGTGCTCATGTCGAGGAGAATTGATAAACATATAGAAATCAAAGATATTGTCGACTTTGCACTCCATCATGACTTTGATTATCAATATATCGTCAAGGCTGTCTTGAAGGGCAGAAAAAGTCATCGGAAACAATCATAAAGGAGTCCTGTACTCTACTAAAATTGGTAAAGTGCAGCTCGCGATTAAATGAGAATGAAGAAATAGCTGATTAAAACAGTTGCAATGATAATATATTCGTACGTCAGAGTCTTATGCAGGGGCAAAAATATTATTGTCCGAACTGTTTTGTTTCACACGTATAAACTTCTCTTCTAAGAAATCATTTAGTTTTCGAGGATAATTTATCAGAAAACCGACGAGATGTATATTTCTTTTTCACATGAAACAGAAAAATTATTTCATAAAATAACATCGCACATTTAATACAATATGTAATATTCGAATTTAAATCAAAATTTTTGCTCATTGTAATAGTTAGATCGTTATAAAAAAATAATATTTATTGAAAGGCTAACTAATTTAATAACTAAGTATGCTCATTTTATTGTTCAACAAGTAGCATCTATTGTAAATTTTTAATTTTCTCTAATTTTGTAAAAATAAATGTTAATATATTCACATAAAGATACGTGTAAAAAAGAATTTTAAATAACTTTAGAATTAGTCGAAAAAAATGTTTACTTTGCAATCTAATTTGATTCGTTGAAATTTAGCGAGTGAACATATTACATTATATGCACCTATTATTCATAATATTGTACACATTAATATACACTATACAAAAAAATTAGGGAGGCACTTTAAAAGCTGCAAGTTTTGTTGATTTTGAGAAACCAATATCTCGGCGTTCAAGAATCGCAGAATATTGTTCCTTAGCGCGTTTTAAAGCGTAAAAACTCTACCTTAAAATGGTTTAAGTGAAATTTTTCGTCCCATTAAACTGTTTTTTCTTTTTTTATTAAAACCAAAAGCAGATAGTGTTAGAGTTTTGAAAATATTACGATATTGTAGCCTGCCACAGGCAAAGCAAAGACAAGACAAAAAGTATCACCACATCAGCTTTGAAGCAGAGAACAATTCCTTTAAAATAGTTTTAAAAAATTCTTCTAGTTTGCCTAGGAGCTGAGTTATCAGGTTTCAAAGTAGACCCAATTTTTTCACAAGATTTTGGTTATATATAGCCTGCATTCGCTTTGTCCGATGTATACCATGAGGAGGTTACTCGGTTGGAGTTTGCACATCATGGTGTGTGTGTGTGTGTGCGTGTGTAGGAGTGTAGTGTGTGTGTCTGCAGAATAAGAAAAAAATCTCACGATTCGTCACTCTCATGGTATTTGAAATATACTATCGAAATATTAGTTTCTTAAAATTGACAACATTTGTAGATCTTAAAGTGCTCCCATAATTTTTTTGTGTAGTGTATATTAATGTATCTAACAGTCTTAAAGAAAAACTTTTATGTTAGAAGACTTCTTGAACTGAGGAATATTTAGAGATGTTTCCGATACGAATGCTATGACGATTTTTATTACTATATTGACATCAAGTCAGAGAAAGAGACTTTACCTTCTTTACCTTTCCAAGTAAATTTAAAACTGTTATTGAAAGATTTCAACTAATATTGGAGTTACTCTCTTTGAAGTATTTTTTTATTGACTAACATTTGCATTATACGTATCGTCTATAAGTGTCTATCATCAAGATTTTTGAAAAATTAATGGCAATCTTATGGCCAATTTAACATGTCAGTCGATAGAATTTGAAACGGGCAATAATTCAGGTTTGTTATGACTATAGACAAATTATAGACATAAGTCTATATAAAAGGAAGATTGCACTTCAAAGAGAATATTAATAAGGTTTACCGCGAAACCGCATCGTTATTGTAAGTTGAATCCGGATTAACGTTATTTTTCTCATGTAACTGATTAAAGGCAAACAGATTTACGATTCTCTTTTCTTACACAAAATGAAAAACCTCTATGTTTTTTATCGATCATTATATAGTCAATATACAGTTGTGT